CGGAGGAAAACTCCGTGTTGCCTAGACCACGGCCTTGCCCAACACAAGTTATAAATTCGGGCACCGCCGGGAATCTAACCCGAGACCCCAGGATTACAAGGCCAGCGTTCTAACCGCTAGACCACCGTGGCTGTCATCTGGGGGTACGTGAACAAAAAAGGTTGAATACCACTGATCTATATCATGATTCGCGGTGTTTAGGCAATTCTCGTTGAGGAAACTAATGGCGATTACTTTGGAAATGTTCTCCAATTCAGTTCTTCTCTTTTTTACGTCTATTTTTGAGCATAGGTGTACTACAGGAAGGTCTCAACACACTTTATATTATCTCTTGAGAGGCCACTAACCACGATAATCACCTAGCTTAAGAGAAGACGTCTCAATAAACCACGTGGTAAAATATTAAAATGTTACTTACAGAGTAATAAGTCACAGTTCAAAAGTTTCTTTCAAAAGTTATTGATGTGGGGTCGTGTGTCTGACCGTCCATAGCTTTAACCACGAAAACAGCTGACCATACAGGACGAATTCAGCATAGAAAAGAACGCCCTGAATATAACAGGAACTTGTCTTGTTAAGATGCTAACCAGGAAGCTCAAAATCATGTTTACAGAAGCCTACCACTAGTCCCCATTCTCAGTCCTGAAGATGTTTCGATTAAATCCGTAAATAGCCGTGGTTCCTGTTAGCGCCCCAATTCTGGATTTTGATCACCAAGTGCATTTATGTGTTTCGTGTAATTCCCAGAACGAATAGCTTTTTGTAGTGGAGAGACGCCATGATTCTTTTAGGCAGGTACTGTATGCTTTATTATTAAATTAAATCAGTGGCGTAACGGCTCCAGAGAGCCAAAGCCGACTAGCTTGACTGCTGTCCTCACGTTCACGTGCCTACGCAGAGGTGAACGATCATCCAACTAGATTATAGGATGACGTGTGGTCAGCACGACGAAACTCCAGCCATTGCTAGCTTTCCTGACCGGATTACGCTACTAATCGTACCTCCCCAATTTCCTCACGATGCTGGGTTAGCACCGGTCCCATACACCGGTCGAAAGCTAATGAGAAAATTTCTTCTTCCCCGAGACTCGAACCAGCGCGCATTCCGTATCGCCGGTCCGAAGCATGATGCCTCATACCTCGCGGCTACGACGCGGGACATACTTTATTATTATTTTATTATTATTTTATTATTATTTATTTAGTGTTCTGTCTGAGGACAGGTCCATATGAACAGGATCCTTCCATCCTTTTCTCGGACTGGGACCTGTTCATATACGTTCTTGGCAGATGATCCAGAAGTGGTTTGCCATTGCCTTCTTCTGTGTGTGAATGGAGAAACCGGGGAAGCCCCCGGAGGAAAACTCCGGGTTGCCTAGACCACGGCCTTGCCCAACACAAGTTATAAATTCGGGCACCGCCGGGAATCGAACCCGAGACCCCAGGATTATAAGGCCAGCGTTCTAACCGCTAGACCACCGTGGCTGATTATTATTTATATGAATTTAATGCTTACAAAGGGTAAAATCATGATTTGGTTAAGCAGGAAA